GTCCATGTATGATTATGCCACAATGAATCCTGTTTTAATCATTATAATGTACTAATAATCAGAATAATGATAATAGAAGGGAGATTAGTAGAACAAGTTGATTGGGGGAGGGATGAGAGGAGGAAAGAGAAAGTACTAGGAAATGTGATTGATTAAAGCATGTTATGTGCATGTACAAATATGGCATAATAAATCCTAATATCAATTGTTGATATAATACCCCCCCAAAATAAAATAAGTTGTTTTGGGCCCATTTCACTTCCATATAGATTTTAGAATTGGCTTTCGCATTTATATAATGAGATTGTTGAGATTTTTTATAGGAGTTACATTGAATCTGTAGATAGCTTTGGTACCATTGACAACATGTTGTCATCCTATCAGTAAATACAGGATATCTTTCCATTTATTTAGGATTTCTTTAGTAAGTGAAAAGACCACCCACAGAATGAAAGAAAATATTTACAAAACATATCTGGTAAGAATTTAATGTCCAGAATTAATAAGGAATCCCTACATTTGAAAAACAAAAAGACAAGCCAATTAAAAAATTGGGAGAGGACTTGAATAGATATTTCCTCAAAGAAGGTATACAAATGGCTGATAAAGACATGAAAATATGCTTAACATCATTCTTCATTAGGGAAATTCAAAATCACAATACCTCTTCATACCTACCAAGTTAGGTCTTACTTTTTTTTTTTAAGAAAGTGAAAATAACAGATGTTGGCAAGATGTGGAGAAATTTTAACACTCAAAATATTGCTGGTGGGAATGTACCATGGTGCCACTGCTATGGAAAACAGTTTATGGTTCCTCAAAAATCTAAACATAGAATCACCATATAACCTTGTGATGCTTAGTTATATCCCCATCAGGGTGAAAATAGGAACTTGAACTGATATGTGTACAAAAATATTCATTGCTGCATTATTCAGAATAGCTAAATGGTGGCAACAACTCTCTAGTATCCATCAATAGATTGAGTGTGTAAACAAAATGTGGTATACGCAAACAATGGAATATTTTTCAGCATAAAAAAGGAATGAGTAGTGATATATGCTATGATGTAGATACAACTTGAAAACATAGAAACAACAGTGGTTGTGGCAGAACATTGTGAATGTAATTAATGCCACTAAACTACACACTTTAGATGATTAAAATAGCAAAATTTGTATATCATGTATATATAATATGTATCATATATTAACATGATAAAAGATTTTATATGAAAAAAATTTAAAACAAACATTTCAACAAAAAGATACAAGAACATTCACAAGTGCATGAGAAGACATTCAGTATCACTGTTAAGGCAAAACATAGGTGATTCCATAATTTAGCTATTGTCAATTGTGCTGCTATAAACATTGATGTGGTTGTATCACTATAGTATAATGATTATAGAATCCACTTAGATGACCCTCAATAGGGGGGTTGAGAAATTGTGGTGTGTGTGTGTGTGTGTGTATGTGTGTGTGTGTATATATATATATATATATATATATATATATATATATATATATATATATATAAAATGGAATTTATATATTATATATATATAATGGAATTTTACTTAGCCATAAAGAAGAGTGAGATTATGGCATTTGCTGGTAAAGGATGGAAATTGAGAACATCATGGTAAGTGAAATGAGGTAGATTTGAAAAATCAAGGGTTGACTCTTTTCTCTCATGTGAAAGTTAGAGTAAAATAAAGAAAATAAGGAGGGGAAATATTATGGTTTGGATGTGAGGTGTTCATGTGTGAGACAATGCAAGAAAGTTTCAAGGAGAAATGATTGGGTTACCAGAACCTTAACCCAACCAGTGAATTAATCTCCTGATGGGATTAATTGAGTGGTTAGGGTGTGACTGGAGGAAGTGTGGGTCATTGGGGGTATGCCTTTGGGGTATATATTTTGTGTGGGGCAAGTAGAGTGTCCTTCTCTGCTTCCTCCTTCCTCATCATGTGATCTGCTTCCCTCTATCACACTCTTCTGCCACCATGTTCTGCCTTCCTTGAACCTTGAGGAATGGAGCTGGCCTTCAATGGACTGAGATCTCTGAAACTATGAGCCCCTAAATAAACTTTCCTCCTCTGCAGTTTTTCTGGTTAAGTCTTTAGTCACAGCAGTGAAAAACCTGACTAAAACAGGAGGATTGTGTATCATAAAGATATAGGGAAGACCAGTAAAGTAGAAGAAGGATATTGAGAGGGAGAGAGGAGGAACAGGAAAGGGGAGAATATGTGGAATGAATTTTTAAAAATCATGTTATGTTTCTATGTAAATATACCACAGGGAAGTTCACCTCTATGTGTAAGTAGAAAGAACCATTAAAAAAATAGATGAGTGTAAGGAAGACAAGTAGAGGAAGGAGAATGGAGGAGGGAGGAGGGATGGGGAAAAGTCGGGGAACATGAACTGAAATCAAATATTATGCATGTATGATTTTGTCAGGATGAACCCAGCTACTATGTCTAACTATAATGCTTTAATTAAAAAAAAGTAAGGTAAAAGAAAGCTTTTCACTTCTACTAGAAGGCTGAAATCAAACATCAGGTGACACCTAATGTTGGCAAGCATGTGAAGCTACTAAAACTTTGAAATGGGGTGGAAATGTGGAAAGCTGCCACTAGGTCAAGGAATTACTTCCTAGATTCTTATCATGTGGAACATACATCTATACCACAACTTAACAATTCCATTCCTACAAATATACCAGAGAAAGGAAAACATGTCTCCAGAATGTGACTTTTATAAGAATACTTTAGCAGTTTTTTCTTAATGGTCAAAACCTGGAGATGATATAAATATGTACTGAGAAGGAATGGATAAACAAATGGTGTGATATTCATCTATGTAAAAACTCAGCCAAGAACAGAAGTAAAGCCACCAGTGCATACAGTGCAACATTGAATCTTACAGACATTATTCTGAGTGGAGTAAACCAGACACAAAAAAAGGACACACGGTGTGATTCCGATGACAAAGGGTTCTAGAATGGGTAAAACTAATGTTGCTGTGGTTAGACTAAAAGTATGTTCCTTTGGGAAAGATCTGGCCAAATTGTTAGAAGAATTTGGAGGATGATGAAAATGTTCTATTTCTTCTTTTGGTTGGTAGTTATGTATACATGATTGTTAAAAAATAGAACTGAACACTTAGAATATATGCATTTCACTGTATGTAAATATAGCCCAAAAATGAAAATAAAAAAAATTTGGCCTTGCAAATTTTTAGATAAACTTTAATAATGGGGAACATGACTATATATTCTTTTTTCACAATTTTCCAGAAAACATTTATTGTTTAATATGGTGATATATCCTCTTTTTATTTTTAATTTTAATTTGTTATATATGACAGCAGAATGCATTGTAATTCATATTACATAATTTTTAATATCTCTGGTTGTACACAAAGTAGAGTCACACCATTCTTGTCTTCATACATGTACTTAGGGTAATGATGTCCATTTAATTCCACTGTTTTTCCTACCCTCATACCCCTCCCTTCCACTCCTTCCCCTTTGCCCTATCTAGAGTTCATCTAATCCTCCATGCCTCCAACCCCTAACCCCATTATGAATCAGCCTCCTTAAATCAGAGAAAACATTCTGCATCTGGTTTTTTGGGCTTGATTTCACCTAGCATTATATTGTCCAACTCCATCAATTTACCTGGAAATGCCATGATTTTATTCTCTTTTATTGCTGAGTAATATTCCATTGTGTTTATATACCACATTTTCTTTATCCATTCATCTACTGAAGGGCATCTAGATTGGTTACACAGTTTAGCTATTGAGAATTGTGCTGCTATAAAATTGATGTGGCTGTGTCCCTGTAGTATGCTGTTTTTAAGTCCTTTGGGTATAGACTGAGGAGTGGGATAGCTAGGACAAATGGTGATTCCATTTCAAGTTTTCCAAGGATTCTCCATACTGCTTTCCAGATTGGTTGCACCAATTTACAGTCCCACCAGCAATGTATGAGTGTGCATTCCCCCCCACATCCTCACCAACATGTACTTGTTGTTTGTATTCTTGATAACTGCCATTCTGACTGGAATGGGATGAAATTTTAGAGTAGTTTTGATTTGCATTTCTCTAATTGCTAGAGATGTTGAACATTTTTTTCATATATTTGTTGATTGATTGTTTATCTTCTGAAATGTGTCTCTTTAGTTCCTTGGCCCATTCATTGATTGAGTTATTTGTGTTTTTGGGTGTTTCGCTTTTTGAGTTCTTTCTATATCCTAGAGATTAGTGATCAATCTGATGTGCAATGGTAAAAATTTGCTCCCAAAATGTAGGCTTTCTATTCACCTCACTGATTGTTTCTTTTGCTGAGAAGAAGCTTTTTAGTTTGAATCCATCCCATTTATTGATTCTTGATTTTAATTCTTGTGCTATAAGAGTCTTATTTAGGAAGTTGGAGCCTAATCCGACATGATGGAGATTAGGACCTACTTTTTCTTCTAATGGACGCAGTGTCTCGGGTTTAATTTCTAGGTCCTTGATCCACTTTGAGTTGAGTTTTGTGCATGGTGAGAGATAGGAGTTTAATTTCATTTTGTTGCATATGGATTTCCAGTTTTCCCAGCACCATTTGTTGAAGAGGATATCTTTTTTTCCAATGTATGTTTTTGGAGCCTTTGTCTATGACTATATATTTTTAAAGATGTTCAGGAACATGATGTGCACTGTTGGTATCATAGATAATTACTTGTTTTAAGTAAACTACAGATAAATTTTATCATCAGGCTCATCATTTCAGTTCTGATTTTTTTTAATTAATGCAAAAGACCATAAGAAAGTCTTTCCTTCTATAGTATATTTTCTCATTAATGTCTGTTAAGAATTGATGATTATTATTTTTAATTCTTCTTGATATTTTTTAGATTATTTAGAATATATTATTGTGAAAAAAGGAAAGAACATATTCATTGGGCTTTCTTGAAAATCTGTGTCAGGTCATTGCCTCTCTGATGTAGAAAAGACTTGGGGAGAACGCCGCGGAGGTAGTCGTTACCCGTCTCTGTTTCACTTAGACGCAGTTGCTTTCCTGGTGTGAGGAGGTCTTCTAGCAGCTGCCCTGCTTTTGTGCTTTCAGCGCTGGTACTGTGATGTACAGCCCTGAAGAGTTCCCCCCTATTCATTTTTTTCCCCTGCAGAAATGAATCTCATTATGGAAAGTGCAAAGCTTTATAAAGGGATAAAGTTTGAATTTTATGGAGTGTAATTTTGTGTATGAATCACATTTTTAATATATAGTTTTCATAAAGAAAGCTAGTAAATTCTGGTACATTCTGTGTAAACATTAATTCTATTAGTAATATAGTGTTAGGCATTTGTGATAACAAAAGAGCTGTCTTGATAAATTGATTCCTCATTTATCATGACTGATACCATATCTGAATGGTCCTTAAATGAAAATCAGTTTATTTAAAATTTTTAATGCAATATAGAAAGTGTGTGTTGTGGAAATTTTATGGCTGATTTTATGGAGAATATACCATCAGTTGACCAGGTATAATAAAGAGATATGCAGAGTTAAGAAGAAAGACAACGTGATACTGCAGGAAATAGAAACAAAATAGATAATGTTTAGCAAAGGTAGAGGAGTTAACAGTGAGCTTTAAACAATATTCATTTGACATCTCTTATAACAGGTGTGGGACACAATAAGGCTTTGGGTGTTGACTTCCCCAAAAGTTGTTGGCTGAAGCTAACATAACCCACTTAAGTCAATTCTGTGATAAGTTGTGTGCAGTTAGCTTTTAAATAATGTGACCCTTTGAAAATTTTAATTACTTATTTGCTAGAATAAGATGGGATTATTTTGGATTTCACAGTAAAGTGCTTGTAAAGGGGAAAAAAGCCTAAATTTAACTTTACTTTTGTGGCATAAACAGTAATTGTCCTTATATCTAGACTTTATAGCTTGTAACCAAAAGCAAATTAAAAAACATAATTTATGTATTCTATAGTTACTTAGAATTTTGAGAATATAAACTTCTTTGAAAAATAGTTTTAATACCTTTAGAAGCGTGTAAACTTTTTTCAGGCCTTTAAGTCAGTTATTCTACCAAATTGTGAGCAAAAAGCGTGTAGTTTACTTAAAAGTGTTAATAGAATCCCAAAGTACTCATAAGTATCTTGGTAATTTAGGAGAAATATAAATCTAGTAAAAGAAGGTATGGTGGTTCAACTAAATAGAAGTCTTTGATTTCTTTTTGTGGTAAAAAGTGACAAGAAATTGTATGTGAAAGTTTTAGTCATCAAAAAGTACTTCTTTCTACTCATGCACAAAACTACCTCCAAAGAGTTATCCAAGATCCCTTGCATCAAAAAATAAGGAGTATAATGGAAGACAGCACAATCTTGTCAAATTGGACAAATAACAACAAACAAACAATGAAGTATGATTTTTCATGTGAGCTCTACAGAATGTCTACATATTCAACTTTCCCCATCGGTGTTCCTGTTTCAGAAAGGAGTCTTGCTCGTGCTGGTTTTTATTACACTGGTGTGAATGACAAAGTCAGATGTTTCTCTTGTGGCCTGATGCTGGATAATTGGAAACAAGGAGACAGTCCTATTGAAAAGCATAAACAGCTATATCCTAGCTGCAGCTTTATTCAGAATCTGGTTTCAGCTAGTCTGCAAGCCACCTCTAAGAATACCTCTCCTTTGAGAAACCATTTTGCACATTCATTATCTCCTAGTTTGGAACGGAGTGGCTCATTCAGCGATTCTGTTTCCTGCCTTTCACCGAATCCTCTTAATTCTAGAGCTGTGGAAGACTTCTCTCCTTTGAGGACTAACCCCTATAGTTATGCAATGAGTACTGAAGAAGCCAGATTTCTTACTTATAATATGTGGCCCTTAACCTTTTTGTCACCATTGGAATTGGCGAGAGCTGGCTTTTACTATGTAGGACCTGGAGATAGGGTAGTCTGCTTTGCCTGTGGCGGGAAGCTAAGTAACTGGGAACCGAAGGATAATGCTATGTCAGAACACAGGAGACATTTTCCCAACTGTCCGTTTTTGGAAAATTCTCTAGAAATGCTGAGGTTTAGTATTTCAAATCTGAGCATGCAGACACACACAGCTCGAATGAGAACATTTATGTACTGGCCAGCTAGTGTTCCAGTTCAGCCTGAGCAGCTTGCGAGTGCTGGATTTTATTACGTGGATCGCAATGATGATGTCAAATGCTTTTGTTGTGATGGTGGCTTGAGATGTTGGGAATCTGGAGATGATCCATGAGTAGAACATGCCAAATGGTTTCCAAGGTGTGAGTTCTTGATACGAATGAAAGGGCAAGAGTTTGTTGATGAGATTCAAGCTAGATATCCTCATCTTCTTGAACAGCTGTTGTCAACTTCAGATACTACTGGAGAAGAAAATGCTGAACCAATTGTTCATTTGGGACCTGGAGAAAGTTCTTCAGAAGATGCAGTCATGATGAATACACCTGTGGTTAAATCTGCTTTGGAAATGGGCTTTAGTAGAAGTCTGGTAAAACAGACAGTTCAAAGTAAAATCCTAACCACTGGAGAGAATTATAAAACAGTTAATGATATTGTATCAGCACTTCTTGATGCTGAAGATGAAAGAAGAGAAGAGGAGAAGGAAAGACAAGCTGAAGAAATGGCATCAGTTAAAGGAAATGCTGCAGCCAACATCTTGAAAAACTGTCTAAAGGAAATTGACTCTATGTTATATGAGAACTTATTTGTGGGAAAGAATATGAAGTATATTCCAACAGAAGATGTTTCAGGTCTGTCGCTAGAAGAACAGTTGAGGAGATTACAAGAAGAAAGAACCTGCAAAGTGTGTATGGACAAAGAAGTTTCTATTGTGTTCATTCCTTGTGGTCATCTGGTAGTATGCCAGGAGTGTGCCCCATCTCTAAGAAAATGTCCTATTTGCAGGGGTATAATCAAGGGTACTGTTCGAACATTTCTCTCATAAAAGAATAGGCTATATTTTAGTCTTTACCAAAAAGCCTTTAAGCTGTTGTTGAACATTGCAAGCCATCTAAAATTAAAACAAGGAATGTTTGGTTCTTTATTTAGTAACATTTATGTTCTATTCTATTTAGGTATGAATAATCTTATTTCAAAAAGAGATAGTATTGTATATTTAATCTTAATTCATTTAGTTGTAAGAGAAGACTTGTTTTTCATGAACTAAATCAGTATGTAAGTGTGAACACAGGAAGAATTAAAGGAGTAGTGTCAGTGTTGTTATGGGTCATTTCAGGAGTTACTGGATTTGGTATTTATGAAAGCTTTGAGTACTACATTACAGTATAGTTGAAAAACTGTAAATTAGTAACACTGGAATTCATCAGAGTTGTTAACAGATTCTTTGGTGCTTTTCACTTGTTTTGTTAAGTAAGGATTTTTCTGTTACTGATAAACAATATTTCCCCTAACCTGTGAGAAACAATAAAATGCTTTATAATTATTGTAAAAAAAAAAAAAGACTTGGGGTTGGGGTTACTGTATTCTGCTATTTTGCTAATTTGCTGAGTAATGAGGCAAGACAACCTCTTAGCCAAGAGTATTAACTCCAGCAGTGAATGAATCCAGTTTTCTTACACACAAGACTCTAAGAGTTCCCACTCTAACCTGTGAAACCTAAAGAATTTATTTTGAAGAGCTTTTATTTCTGCTTCAGGATTAGGGAATTCATTTCTGCAGATACTTAGATTCCACCTTGTCTGGAGGCATAAACTAATGACAATCCAGCTTGAGGTTGACATATGTAGTGGTGAGGATGATTAAATAGTGGAAAATAAGATGTACAAGTATTAAACAACCAAAAGATAATGCAGATTCATAATATGATTAAATGAAAAAAGTTATGTATTATTCAAACAATAGAGGTCTACTGTAAATGAGGAAGAAGAAAGAGCACTGGGAGTTAGAAATAAGTTTTCTCATTCAATAAAAGTAGTGTTTTGTTGTGTAGTGGATAGAATTGGGGGATACTGCAATATTCTTGTACATAGTGCACCAAACAACTGAATCCCTGTGTTATACTCTAGATATGGGGTCTCCCCCAAAAGCTCATGTATAAGACAACATAAGAGAGTTTTAGAAGTGAAATGAATAGGTTATAAGAGTTTTAGCCTAATCTGTGCTTTGATTCCCTGATAGGGATTAACTGAGTGGTAACTCTAGGCAAATAGGGTGTGGCTGGAGGAGGTGGGTCTTTGGGATATATATTTTGCCCCTGGGGACTGGAACAGTCTCTGTCTCTGATTTCTGGTTGTCATGTCTTGGGTTGCTTTCCTCTGCCATACCCTATGCCCTAATGCCTTACCTCAGGTTCAGAGCAATGGGGTCGACCATCTGTGAATTGAGACCTCTAAAACCTTAAGCCCCAAATAAACTTTTTCTCCTCTAAAATTGTTCTTGTCAGCTCTTTTGGTCATAGCAATGAAAAAGCTGACTAAAGCTCCTTGAGACTACACTATTTTCATTTAGATTATTTTAAATAATTGTTTGTAATAGGCAAAAATATAGTTCTCATTTAAGTTAAGTGACTTACCTAAGCATGTACTCTATAACCCCATGACATCAGACAGTGTCTAGAACAACAGTAATTAAGTAGTAGGTCAAGGATGGCTTCTATGGTCTCATGAGTCAAGCATTAAATTTTCAGAAATTTTATGCATTAGTTATAGCACTGTTAAAAATTGAAAAATTTATAATTCAGTAAGTTTTATTGAATAAAATGATGTTAAAATAATAATTTCCCAACTATTTTCTTATGTTTTACTCATATCTATACTGTTAAAATTAGTTTCATTCACTAAATTGTTGTAGTGAAAATAATGGTGTGAAGCTATACATCTTTTCCTAATTTTGTACTGATGATATTATGTTGATAGCTTGAAATCAATCATGGTAGGAGTAGTTACACTATAGAAATTGGTAACACTACAAATCAGGGTGTGACTTTTTGTTGTTATTGTTAATTACCTAGATTTAAGAAAATGACCAAGAAAATGTTACTTATGCAGATTAAAACTTAAAGTATGTCATATTCAACATACATTTACCTTGTTTTTTATCATCTTACTTATCAACATAAACAAAATATCAACCAACATTCATGTGAGAAGTACACTTGTTCTAAACCAGGAATCTCACCACCAGGTATAGATCTAAAGGAAACAGAATCAGTATGTTGAAGAGATATCTGTACTTCCTTGTTCACTGCAACATTATTCACAAGAGCCAAGGTATGGAATCAACTTAAGTGTCTATCAGTATATGAATGGATAAAGGAAATGCAGTCTTATACACAATGAGTTAACATTCAGCTCCTAGAAAGAAGGGAATTGCAAAAATTTGGATGAACCTGGGGGATATTGTATTAAGTGAAATATTCCAGGCACAATAGACAAATACCAGATGATCTCACTCATATGTAGAATATAAAAAAGTTGAACTCATAAAAGTGGGTGGTTAGAATGGTGATTACCAAGGGTTGAGGGTAGAGGTGAGGACTGGGGAAATGTTTGTCAAAGAATACAAAATTTCAGTCAAATGACAGGCATAAGCTCAAGGATATAATGTACAACATGGTGGCTGTAGTTTACCACAATGTATTGTTACTTGAAAATTGCCAGAAGAGATTTTAAATGTTCTCACAAAAAGCAAAAGATTAGGGAAAAAAAGGAAATACATCTGTTTATCAATTGCAAGCAAAATGTGTTGTTTGGAAAAAATAAATATTTTCTGAGATTAATTGGCAATGTGAAATGTATAATAAGGTTATATATTTTATTGCCATTTGTAAATTACATGATATACATCCCAGTAAACTCTGTAATAAACTTGCATATACATTTTCAAGATTATGGACTTATGAATACTATTTATAGATATGTCTATCTATACATTAGATTTGATACATACATATATACATACTTTTCCTCTCTCCAAAGAGCCAGTTGTTCATAGTTTATCACCACACCCTTGAGTACCATCCGATTTCTGCCCTTAAGACAGATATAAGGACAGGGCTGGAGATATAGCCCAGTTGGTAGAGTGCTTGCCTTACATGCACAAGGCCCTGGGTTCAATCCTGAGTCCCACAAAACAACAACAACAACAACAAACAAACAAACAAACAAATAAATAAATAAAGATAAGGATAGTTTAAGAGCCACATTAAGGAAACCAGATGTTCTGGGGCTCAAGTAAGAGGGGGGCAAGGAGAGAGCATCCAGTTGGAAGAATCAAGATGAATGTGAACAAATGGAAATTCTGACCTTTTGATTGATTCTTGAAGGTGAGTGAGAATTCATCAGAATTCATGCCCCAGATAATGCTCCAAACAGAACTTGAAGAAACCACCGGGACAGGAAGTAGTAGGACTTTTCTACCCTCAGTGTTCTTTTGTTGGGGGAACAGAAACTAACTTGGTCTGATTTATGTAAAAAGATATGGATCAGATGGAGAAGAATCAGGCTGAGAGGCAACCTGAAACAATGCTCCAAATCACACTTTACAACAGTCTCAACACAGGTGGCATGGGAAAATGTACACTGTTGAAGCAGGCACCATTGCCACTGTGGCCCTCCAAACCAGATCCTGTGTAATCAGGACTATCAATGTTCTCTACAATATTCCCCTTTTTTGAAGTCCACAGTGAGTCTCATACTGCAGGAACCTGACAGAGGCTGTTCTTTGGGCTAAAGTGAACTAGGGAAGCAAGGCAGTTTCAACATTAGTAAAGGAAAGTGGTCTTTGCTTACTACACAAACACTTAGGTGGGTCATTCACTCAGCATAGGAAATATTTTGCAATAAGGCACTTGAAAACTAAAATGTGTTTACTTGGTAATGTTTTCAACTTGATTAAGATTTAGCGAGCTCTTATTATTTGCAAGGTACTGTGCTAGGTACTAGGGATTCCAATGACTAAGGCAGCCCATGGTCCTCCCTTTTATAATCATACATAAAAAAAAAATCAGCTTTGCAGATGGAGAGGTAAGCTAGGCTGGGCTTTGAAAACAAATAGACAAAGGACATTCTTGACATATTCAAACTGTAAGTTAATTTTGGGATGACATAGGGTAGCAAGAGATAGACCAGAAATGCAGGGCTGTGATATGGAAGACTTTTTTTAAAAAGGCATCAGGGAACCATAGAAAGTTTTAGGGGTCAAATGTGACATTGTCAGTGTATGTATCATGAGCTTTGGGAAGGTAACACAGAAGTTGTGACAAGATGGTTTAGAGTTAAGAACAAAGGGATCACTACCTGGAACAAAGCTGTTTATCATATTTCAAATCAATATTTCAAAGAAAAGATAATGAGGGTTTGATCTACGATGATGGAAGAAGAATGAAAACAGAAGTTTAGATACAAGAAACACCATGAACTTGAAAGGATTTGAACACTAATTGGCTCATCAGTTGAGACAAATTTAGTTTTGCTGGGTTTGGTACTAGGAGGTCAAGTTCCTGTCCTAATGCCTCAAGCTCTCTAGGCATATCTGTGTTTCCATGTTTGCCTGTGGGTTCTCCAGACCTCAACTGTTGTTTGATTTAAACAGAGCTCAGATGTTTGCCCACTGTGCAAATACAGTGGCCCCATGAACTTCAGGGAGATTGTGATTAATTACATTGAACCTTTTTTATGAAGTACAATGATTGTTTTAGCTGCCATAAAGAGAAGTTCCTCTGTGTTTTTTGCAAGGTTGCATTGATCTGGTTATAGCCTTACCTGAGGTATGCACACAAATATATCTTATGAAAATCTGAAGTGGTTCTTGCGCCAAGAGGAGTTGACAAGGGACACAGGCTTTTGTGGTAAACTTCTTTTATACTATATTTGATATTGGCTCATCTTTCCTAAAATCTAAATGATATATCCTCTGAAAAATGAACGTAAGTGAAACCTAATTTAATTGAAATTCAATGGGCAATAACTGACAGGCAGGTCAGAGTTTTTTTTTTAAACTGTTTGTTTTGCAAATAGCACAATAATTCTTTAAATGGCTAAGCTACTGCCTTCATGACAGGAAAATGTTATAAAGAGACAATGT